TGACAAAATGTTAATGTTGTGAATCACAGTTATATTTTAATTATTAGTCTAGTCTATGGAAAACAAGGATAGAGAAAGAAACTATTGAAAGTTCGCTGTAAAGCTACACACATACCAAAACAGTGCTTAATTATATAATTTACATCAGAGGATTCATTGTTGTAATGATATGATCATTCGCTATGGGCTTGCATTATAGGCATTGCTGATCAAGTGGAAGCATGATTTAATATAATTTTGTCATTTTTGCCTACATTTTTAGAAGATAAAGAACATCTTTTATCCAGGTAGAAGTTTTCATATGTTATGCTTGATATTGAATAGGTTAAATATATGAGGACATTACAGAGGCCAGGAACAGCATAAATTTTTTTACCGCCTGTGGTTCTTTTACCGCTAATGCTCTGAAATGGTCAATGGAATAACTTTGACCAGGAATTGAATTTTGATGCACTTTTCCTCCTTGTAACATTCTTCTTTATCACATGACTACATTACTTCACGAATTATAATTTGTGACTTTATTTTATGCTGGTCAAGATAAATTGAAAGGAGAAAGATTGCTTTAATGCATCCAGTTTTTTCTCCTGAAATGAATTCCAGGTTTTTATTTGTTCTTTTCTTTTTCAAGCTTCCTGCATCAAATGATTGAATTCACACTTTCGACAGGTGGTTCAAAAAACTGCTGCTACTTTTGCTCCGAGAGCTTCAACTGCAACCAAAAATCCTGCTGTACCTGGGACAGTTTTATACTCTGTTTTTGAGGTTCAAGGGTATGCCTCTATGTTGTTGGGTGGATTTCTCTCTTTTAATCTCATATTCCCATCAAATGAACCAGACATATGGAGACTAATGGGCATGTGGTCCATTTGGATGTTCAGTAAGCATTTCTTCATTCCTTGTTGCATAAAAAGAAACTGGAAAATTACAACTTAATACTACATTCTAATTCTTCTGCAAAAGACATATGGCTGATTAAGCATGCGTTTGGCCCCCATTAATTTGAATTATAATGGGAGGAATAGTGTTTTTTTTTGAAAAATGAGTGGTTGTCAAAGAATGAAAAGTTTTCGATTTACGTATAATATTATTTTATTGAAGATTGTGTAGTTAAAAATAGAAGAGAGAAAAATATAATTTAAATTGATGAGATTTAAAGTGGGCCAAACGGGAGCTAAATATTCTTTGATTATGTTAGTATTCCATATCAGTTCTTAGATACAAAATGACATATAGCTTTAGTTTCTTTAGAATTCATAGATATTGGTTCTTAAATGACCATTATTGTAATAGTTGACTTAGTTAAAATAGATTTATCTTGCTAAAATTTATCTCATCTTTTTTCCTTCTTGTTTTCACAATGATAATTTATCATTTTCAAGGAAGCTGAAGATCCGTCTTAAACATTAATTCTGAGCCAATTATTTCACGAAGCATCTCAAATTAACGTTTCTAACTAGTTGGTGGTTATTCCTTCTTTGCAAATTCTTCTTGAAAGTAGAGAATGTATTGTAGTCCTAATCATTTATACATAACTATTTGTGTATATTGATGGGGCTGATCTTTGCTGTTGCAGCTATTCCTTCCCTTCGTGCACGAGACTGCTCAAAGAATGAGAAAGAAGCTCTCAATTATCTCTTTCTCCTTATTCCATTGCTAAATGTCGTAATCCCATTTTTCTGGAAATCATTTGCCGTCGTTTGGTCAGCAGATACTGTAGCCTTTTTTGGAATGTATGCTTGGAAGGTATTCATTTCATCAGCACTTCACGTTGATACCTAATTAAGCCTTCATCTAAACCTATAATTCTCTTTTTCCCTTTGGTACAGCTTGGGTGGTTACAACAGAGAGAATAGTATATGTATTGAGCACGAGGAGTGGGTTTCTTCCTTGATCCGTTTGCATCCATAATTCTCAATTATCATGGCTTATGGTTGATGCAATGTCATACCTTTGAGCACGTGTTGTAATAAGCATCTTCTCTGAGATGGGTTGGTTAGCATTTTAAGCAAAGATGGATTAATTTCCCAAAGGACAAGAGTACTTGGCTCCATTTTCAATGTATTATGTTCCCTTTGGTTGGTTGATGTTTGTTAATTGTTGCATCACTGTAAAGAATAGGCAGACATATTTTTGTGCTTTCAATAAAAATATAGATTAATTAATCCATAAGTTGTGCCGAAATTCTTACTGTTGAAATGAAAATGATCAGTTTTTATTTTGAAGTTTAAAGTTTGTAATTGTTTGGGCTAATGTGACCATGCACAAAAAGATAAAGATCAATGTGTGTCGAGTTCTGAATTAGAGATACAGAGGAAGATTCTTTGCAAAAGCCTTCAAGCGAATGGCTTAGGTCTGGTTCCGGAAATGTAGAGATGGCAACTGTTAAATAAGCTCTCTCTTTTGTACGAGGATGGATTTATTAGAGCTGATCATGAAGGTGATTTGCAATCCAGTATGATTCTATAAGGAATCAATGCAATGAAAGGAAGATAAATCCCTTATAGGAAATGTGATTGACGAACTCACAGGTAAGTCTGGGATTTATCCTTTTTGTTATTATTATTTTTCCATTTACTCAAATTTTCTCAGGCAACTGTGATTATGCTATTCTAATAACCCTCTCTCTTTTTTTGGATTAAAAAAAAAAAAATCTCTATTCATTCTTGGATTATATTACATCCTTTTTACGTTTCATGAAGTTTCTGCCATTGTAGAAGCAATTATTTTAAGTTCAGGATTTGCATAAAGATTTCTTGATTACTAGTGGAAATAGAACTCAGTTTGTGAAAAATGGCATTTGTGGCATTTGTTTGTTTGATTCTAGGTTTGAGAGAAAGTAACCCTATTTCTTGATTACTAGTGGAAATAGAACTCAGTTTGTGAAAAATGGCATTTGTGGCATTTGTTTGTTTGATTCTAGGTTTGAGAGAAAGTAACCCTTACCTTCTCGTCAAAATAACTAACTCATTTGCCCTTACAAGGGCCTGACTGCAGTAGCATCTGCTTGTGCTTCTGTTTTTCTGTTTTTGTAGATGAGCTTCTTGAAGAAATCACTTTAGTCATCTTTCTCTAAAAGTTCTTCTAAATCGACAAAGCACTGAGCTTTTTAGTCTCAGAACTAGCTTTTGTCTTCTCGAAAACCTAGCTAAATGGAAAGTAAGAAAAACTACATGTTTAGTGACAAAAATCTAAGAAGTAACTCTAAAGTATGTTTTATGCTTAGCCATATATGTTGTTTGTTTTCAAAAGAAAATCTTTTATTTCTCTAGCTATGTTATTCTTGATACTTATTTGTTGGAACTCTTTTTGCAATCATATAGCGCCTTTTTGGCAGTCCTATCGAGTAGAATCTTCTATCCTTTTGATACAACCCATTACCAACATTAAATGATTGAATGAATTTGATCCCTTGTTAATATGTTGTCATTCTAATTAGATGGTGCTTATACATAATGTATGGTTTTGCAATGCTTGAGAAAGAGAGAACCTCTCCCATTTTTCGACTGATTGGATAGTACACTTTGGCATTGATGTGAAAGACTTAGAAGGGCTAGTGAAATTTAGCGTAGGTTCTAGTTATCTTTAGAGTTTAGTTGTTTTTTAAGGTATATTCATTTGTTTTCTATTTTTTGTTTGCTTGATGTTAAGTTTATTTCCTCCTCCTAAGTTTTTTACTTTTTATGTTGGCATTTGATGAATATACCATACCTGTCGTGGTATGATAAAAATTAGTTATGATTCATCGTAGTTTCAAGAACTTAGGAAAACCTCATGTATGGATGCTAAGCACCGAGTAATCAAGGAACTTGTGCAATAGTGATAGTGGGGTTGTTAATGACAACCAATCTCACACTATCTTTAGTCAACATTTTTCTGTTGTCTTCCTTTCATCTCGATCTTCTAGGAAACTCAACACTATTGAATTCGGGTTCTATGAGTCGTATAACATTGTTTATTTGAAATTCACGATGACCTTCTGTAGTGATGAATAATGGTGATGTGGAAATTGATGTTTACTTGCAAGTTTGACGCATAAGAAAGTGGAAGTGTTGAGGGTTATGTAATATTTGTTACAGTGTGTAGAATCTAGACAACTTTTTTATATTATATAAGAGTGCATGGTAAATTTAAAAATAAACTTAGGCAATGCTACGTGTACATAATCATTTACATGCGACCTTACACTTTCCTTGTATGGAGGGGGTTCACATACAAGGAGTGTGCTATGTGTACATAAAAATTTGTACATAACATACAACAAGAATTTTCCCACATACAATAAAATATGTGTGGGCTGTAAGGCGGGTGTGGTGTGGTGTACACATAGTATTATTCATAAGCCAAACATCGGAAAATATTATTAGAGCTGCCGAATCAAAATTTAACATTTTCTATTGACTGCTAACATTCGATAAAAACTAATATTGTTACAAAAAGGGTTATTTGATTAGTGAAATAACTTGAATACTCTTGCTACTTCAATAATATTAAATATTGTTAAAAAGAGTAAATATATTTTTTATTAACATAAATCTAAGCCCTGTTTGAACCTCATTATTTCCTTATTAAAATGAAAAATATGATCGTTATTCATCACATCAAATCACCATATTTGACTTTTTATATCTTGTGTGGGGCTTATAATAACTATATTTTTCATTCTTATTTTTACAATAATGTGGCTCAAACGGGGGTTAAATATACAAATTATAATAGAAACTCATTAACCCATTGTGTTACTAAAGTTAGTAAAGACTAAATAGTTATGTTAACCAAATTTGCTAGTAATTAAAATATATTTTAATAAAACTTGAACGAAAAACCTACGTTTATCAAACACGCCTTTTTTTTTTCTTGCGGAAAAAAATAAATAAATAAGAAACCATGTACTTTTTCATTTTCATTATAAAATAGAGACTGTGCATGGTTTACTTTTGAGTAAGCCCATGTTTGCCTATCATTTATAATTTGTTTATAAAAGTCAAAATCACATCTTATTTACATATTTCGTGAAATTTACAAATATTATTATTTATCTATAACTTATTTTTATCATTTATCTATAACTTATTTTTATCTATTTATAATAACATGACTGTAATGACGCGTTTGATTGTTAATGTTTTTCATTCAAATTTTTACTTTTGTACTGTTCAATTGACATTTTTAATGAAAAATATTTTCCTACTTTTGGTCACGTGTTAATATTTTTCTCAAAATTGAAGAAAATATATTCTTTAAGGGGGTATGATTTTATTTTTCAGGAAATTTACTCTCTCTCATCTATCTACTCACTCTCATCTCCCACTAATAAAAACATGACAAATATAATATTTTTTAGGCTAAAAATTAAATCAATCAAATACATTTAGCCTATGTTTGAGCCATATTCTAAGAAAAAAATGCATTTTTCATGTCAAATCAATAAAAAATGTGGTTAAAAAATAAGGAAAATTTTTATATTTGCGTGTAATATTATTTTATTGAAGAATACATGGTTGAAATGATGTCAAATCACTGTTAAAAATGTATTTTTTTTAAATAATGTAACTCGAACAAGCTCTTAATTAATAATTTTCATATAAATAAGTTTTGGGTATTTCAATTGCCTAGAATTTATTTTTTTTTCATACAAATTACATGCTCGCAATTAAATGCAACATAAAATTTAAATAAACTAACTTAAACGTTATCTAACTCCTGTTTGTGCCCTTTAATTTTTAAAAGTGCATTATGAAATAGTGATTGGTGTTGAAATGTATGATTAAAAAAGAAGTTTTTATTTATTTATATGTAATATTATTTTAATGAAGAATACATGGTTGAAAATGAGTACTGTAGAAAAATAATGTGGTAAAATGATTGACAAACAAAGGCCAAGGAAAACTTTAGTGAAAGTAATCCAACTTATAGATTTGTTTCATATTGGTCACTCAATTTCAATTTGTTTATTATAATTATTCATTATTATTATTATTTTTAGTCACTTTTGCTTATCCAAACTAATAAATTATAGGTAGAACCATACAAATTTTTTAGTCTATTCTTCCAATGTAAACGACGAAAATAAAAAAAGAATGTTGTTTGTCCAAAAAAATGAAACTTCCTTTCCAAAATTCAATTGTTTTACAATCACGAAATAATGAGATAAGTTCGTATAAACATTTTTAGATGCTGTTATTGAAGTATCCCTTCTGGCTATATTTTTTATTACTCCACCCATTTTTGTATAATATTCGACCTTGTTTTATGACAGTTATTCAATATTCAAGATTCCCTTTTCCGATACCAATATAATGGCTCCAGTATTTATTTACATGTAATTTAATATCATTGGGATTATAATTATAATAGTCAAATTGAAAGAGAAAAATATGAAGTCCACACTGATCAAATTGAAATAATTTCCATTTTGAAGTGACTTAGACGAAATTTCATAAGATGTAACTCAAAGCGAAGTTTGGGTAGTTTCATTTGGGCAGTGGGGGAGACTGTTCGATTGCAGAGGCTGAGCGATTCATGAAACCGAACATGGGCGGCTTGTACTTCAGTTTCTTGATTGCCCTTTTACTTTCTGCAAATCTTGAAGCTTCCTATTGTTCAAATGAAGGCAAGTCCTTTTAACAAATTCCCGGAATTGCATTTTTTATTCTGCGTTTTCTGTCAGTCATTCTGTAGAACACTTTGTGTGCTTAATTATAATTGAGTAATTGGGATGAACAGAAACTGAATTTGTTGTATTTTGTGAAACTGAAATGCAGGGTTGCAAACAGTGAGGAATATAAGTGAACTTACACAGGATAATTATGGGAGGCCTGGATTGTCGCATATCACAATTGCTGGTTCCCTTATACATGGGTTTAAAGAGGTAGAGAAATTCAATTGTTTAGGATGAACAAGAACTCTATGTTTGCATATTCTATGTTTTTACCAGTAAAGTAATTCCATCTCCCCCTAAATTATCATTGATTACTTCTTTTTTGTGACAGGTTGAAGTGTGGCTTCAGACATTTGCTCCAGGAGCCCATACTCCAATACACAGGCACTCGTGTGAGGAAGTTTTTGTGGTGCTTAAGGGAACTGGCACTCTATATCTTACTACTACTTCACATACAAAATATCCTGGGAGTCCACAGGAGTTTCCAATCTTCTCAAATAGCACATTTCATATCCCTGTCAACGATGCTCACCAGGTAAGGCCTCTGTTCTTCATTCTTCTTGTTTTTAGATTAGTTTTGACTTAGAAGGTGGTGAAGAGGAGAAAAAGAACGGATACATGCATGTTCTCTTGGAATTAAGCAGCATAAACGGATAATGAAGGAATGGCTTTAAGGAAAGTTGTTTGAATGGATAACAAGTAAATTAATAAATAAAACAAAGTAGATTTGTAATGGAATCAATTACTTTAAAATTTTAAATTAGGAAAATTTGCATAATGTTATAAGTCATTGGTGCCAATGTATCTTAGTGATCCTAAGTTCATCATCTTCCCTAGCTCGGAAGAAGTAATATCTATTACATCATAATATTTTACATATAAATTAGAGGAATATCTGAACGATCAAGTTTGGAAGACTTGTTGGTGTAAACATGGGAAATCGACGGAGAGAAAATCACAGATTTCCTGACTTTGACTTGTGGTGTTACTGTGTAGGAGGCTACCCATGCAAATCTTTTGACTCTTCCATACTTCCATTTGAGCTTATGTTGACATGTCTGTTCATCTCATTACCTTAAAATAAATTGGGAAAAAGAAACATCAACAACCTTGGAGAATTTTATGTAGGATAGCCTCCTTTGGAATGTCTGACTGGTGAACAGAGAATGTAATCAGGAGTACAGACTGCATGGTCATAATTACGTCCTTTGTAGTTTGTGTCTCAAAAAGTCGTGACAAATATGTCCATTATTATAATTACAGATAGAAGTTGAAAAATAATAGTCTTTTGTATCCCATTAAATTGACGCTATAAGATTTATCCATCTGGATCGCTGAAATTACTCTTCAATAAAATTACTCTTCACACAACAGTCGAATTATACACCATCAAATGAAAAAGTTCATCCACCTTTTTGTGTCGGAGTTCAATTGGAAATTAGGGCAGATAAAGTCTTCATGATTTGTGAGTGGATCTGATTGTCAACTAGGGTTTTTCTTTTTTAGGAACCAGATAAATCATAAAGCGAAATAGTAGAACATATGCCATCCATCTTTCATCACACCTTAGAAAGAAAAGAATGCTTTACTGACCATTAGGTTTCCACATCTCTTTGGTTCTGTGTGCTAAGTAACTCAGTTTATGCTTCGTCTTCATTTTGTATTTTTGTTGCAGTGTGCTTTCCCCTGAACATACCCTCTAGCGCATGCTCATTTCACTCTCTGTTTGTCCTTTTATATCTACTGCCCTTGATGCTGTTGATTTATAAGCATTGGGGATAGTAGTGCAATTATATTTGCTTGTTGGTGTTCTGGTTGATGTTATGTCTCTTCCTAGTGCCTAAAACCCCCTTAGGCGGTTCTTTTTGTATGGGAACATGTACTGTACGTGAAAGGGCATGGTGACAAATAAATTTATTAACCTAAGTTTTTGCCACTAAAAATGATGAGTTGGTTTAACAGATCTCAAAGATTGCTGAGTTCTATATGATACTAAACCACTGGACGTCCATAAATTCGACATACTTTATAGCAATTAACTAATGAAAACATGGATATATTAACCAATGGAAACCATTGGAGCATCCGTAAATTCTTCACACCTGGTAACTAGGTCTAGATGAAAGTTTCAAGGGAACAAAGATCAACAGCAAAGATCAACCTATTTCACATTTCTGTATATCACTTCTGAAATTACACATGCAATTTTGTGTTTGCATTTGGGATGATTTTCTTCATAGAGATGGAGTCTGCAAATATTTGATCGATCAATTTAGACATTGAAGAGCTGACTACGAGGTTTCCATACGCTTTTAAGGGTAAGAGATGTGCATTTTCCATTCAAAAGATATTTGTTCATTTCATAGTCAAACATCAAGGATGAAAAAAGAGAACTTTCAAAAGAATGTGGTGGTGTTTTCCATGGGCAGTGACTAAAGGAGGACTTTGAGAAACTAATGAATCAATGTATCCCATAATCATCTTTTATCTATGGATACTAGCATTTCAATGGTATATATAATTAGGTCAAAATGAAAGGTGATTTCAAAAAAGGTCAAAATGAAAGGTGATTTCCAAGCAAACAATGTCCACTAGATTTGGATGGAAGCAATTGCTTTCTTGATGCAACAAACTAAGATTATGTGTGAACAAGTAGCTGTAAAACTTAACACCATTATGCTAGAGGATGCATAGAGTCCTCTACTGATTCATCATTTTCCCTAGGATATCCAATCCTCTTTGGGATTGTAACATAAAATGAATCCATACAAGTTGATTGGTTTAGCAACTTGACAAAAGGAGAAGGACAAGCAGGAGGGGAGGAGAAGTTTATTCAATTGCTATTAAATAAGCTGTACTTATGGGGAGATTGACATACTAATGTCTTTTTAAATTATTGTACATGTACTTCAATGTGTGTCGAACATCTTAGCAGAATTATATTTTGCCCTTTTGTTTTCTCAATGAAAATTTGGGCAGTACAGTTCTTAATCAATCATTTAGCAAATATTGACAGTCAGAAAATTTGTAGATTCCCCTTCACTCAAGGCAGAATGTGATTTGACTGCATTTGGGGCTTTGTTGACTGTGTATGTCTACCGTTCTTATTGCAGGTCTGGAATACTAATGAAAGTGAGGATCTACAGGTGTTAGTCATCATATCTCGGCCGCCGGTGAAAGTGTAAGTTATTTATTCCTAGATCATTAAGTGCATTTTAGTTTAAATAAGTTGTTTTTTTGTAACTTAGTTAATACTTTAAACTGAGCTTATAACACTGACCTAAGTTCAAATACTATCAGTCCACCAAGAAATTTCATATCATGCTGGCAATGTTGACATATACTGTGGCAACCAAGTGCAATGGATTAGGGATTATGTTTTGTGCTGGGAAATAAGAATTAGATCTACTCCTCACTTATTGCTGCCAACTTGTTGGTTTCAGGTTCATATACGATGATTGGTTCATGCCACACACCGCAGCCAAATTGAAGTTTCCTTATTATTGGGACGAAAAGTGTTACCAGGCACCACCAGTGAAAGATGAGCTTTAACCTTTTAAGGCTGAGTTATGATAATTTCTATTTGAGGCTGTACATGTGCGAAAATGTGAGGCGCAACATATCCTTCATGGTGCTTTTCAGTAAGGTGAATTAGATAGAAATAGACAAAATTAAGGAAGAAAAAAGATTGATCTTTTCTATTGATGTCGTTCGTGGAAGATTTTAAGAACAAAATATCCATTATGACCTTCATGAAGAAAAAAAATAAAGTTCTGTTAATTGTCCAGATATGTTTATCATACTCCAGTTTTAAGTTGTGAAGGGCTTGGTTCATACATGAACATGATGACCTTGTACATTGTGTATAGTTCTTTATACTTCTGCACGAGCAAGACCTTACTCATTACTCATTAGATTAAAGATCATTTTCTTTTCTACTGTCCAATTGCTTTTTACGTACAATTTTTTGATTTTTGAAACGGTTTGTTATGCGACTTTTTTGAAAGGGAGAGGGAGATGTTCGTGCTGTCACAACAAGAACGTCGACAACCTCTCTAACGAAAATTCGATAATTCATAAAAAAAACTTGCGCAAAATTTGTTTTTCAAAAAAGAACAAAGAAATAAAAGTAGATTACTTTTCAAAATCTTGTCTATATATCCTAACAAGATGCTTTTGCTCCCTCTATCTCGAATAAATATTTTTTAAGATAAAATATGATTTTGTTGTAAAATAATGAAATAATTATTGATGATTATTTAGTATTACCATGATATATAGATAAGTTTTATCTAATTTAGATGGTTTATTTGATTTCAATTGTAACCTTTATTTTGGATCCTATAAATATAGGGTATTAGTTCTTAATAATACACACTTGAGTTTTGACTATTATATTCTTTTCTCTTTTTCATTATTTTCATAACACGTTATTAGCATGGCAACTTTAGCCTCTGTTTGGCCCAGCTAAATTAAATTTCATTTTTTTTCTATTTTCTATCACACAATCTTTCATAAAATAACATTACACGTAAACTGAAAACTTTTCAATTTTTTCAATTACTCATTCTCCAAAAAATACTATTCAATCCATTACCATATGAAAAAATGAGGGCCAAACGGGGGCTTAATTCAATAATTATTTTTCTTAAAAGTTTTTCAATTCCTTCAAGTTCCAAGATTATAACCTCCGGAGCAATAAAGCCCCTGTTTGCCTCCCCCTGCCCCCTTCCTTTTTTATTCAAATTTTAATGTTTGGAATAGTATTTTTTTTAAAACGTGTGGTTGAAAAAAAAATGATATTCCTTTTTTTTTCTATCTTCAAGGGGCGGGTTTGGGGTGGGGCATCCCCGCGACAGGGCGCCGCCAACCTGTTCGGGAACGTAGGACCCTGTCGGGTCGAGACGGGGTTTTTTGCCATTCCTAGATCAAACCAAGCAATATAAAGCAAAATTCAAGAAAACCAAGCAATATAAAGCAAATTTCAAGAAAACAATAAGAGTCCAAATTTAGGCCCCTGTTTGGCCCCTTTTTTTTTTTTTAATTTTAATATTTGGAATAGTATTTTTTTTTTTTTAAGAATGTGGGTTGAAAAAGAATGAAATTTTTTTCATTTACGTATAATATTATTTTACGAAAGATTTTGTGGTTGAAAATAAGAAAGAAAAAAAATTATTAGAATGGGGGCCAAATGTGGCTAAACCTTTTCTCCAAGCACATGGCAGGCAAAGCTCCTTCAACAGCAACTCATCAATCCGGCGGCAGCACCAAGAAAGGGCTTCGAAAATCAGTGTTTATCAAGATTGAGCCCCGTTTGGCTCCATTCTCATTCTTATTCTTTTTTTCTTTCTTATTTTCAATTACACAATCTTTCATAAAATAAAGTTACACGCACATTCTCATTCTTTTTTTCTTTCTTATTTTCAATCATACAATCTTCTATAAAATAAAGTTACACGCAAATTAAAAATTTTTCATTCTTTTTCTACCACACATTTAAAAAAAAAAAACATTATTCGAACCATTAAAATTTGGCGAGGATGGAGGCCAAACGGGGGCTGAATCTCTATGCCCATTATCACACGGGCTCTTCCGTTCTCCTATTCCTATTTTTTTCCCAAAAAGCCCGAACTCTTTAGATTTATTCTATATCAAAGCCTTCTCTTTCCCTTCGTATCGCTCAGACCCAAAATCGCAACCAGACCTGGCTATGCAAATGTCATCGCTTCAGCTGTGAAGAAACTTTCTGAAATTGAATTGGTGGCCGTGCCGGAGGAAACTAACTTAGTAATTGGAATATTTACCACGGAGTCGAGCGTATAAGCAAATTATGATAATCTCCTACTCTTAACCATACAATCTTCAATAAAATAATATTACACGTAAATCAAAAACTTTTTAACCACTTATTTTTTCAAAAAAATACTATTCATCTCATTATAATATACAAATAATGGGGCTCAAACGGGGCTTCATTTAATTGGCCATTGTTGAAAACCAGAAGGATGTGTCAATCAACTAATGCAAACCAGTTCATAGTAATAAAGTTGAGGAGTCAACAGTGAATTGTTGGTTGAATCTATCATTGGTCTAAGCATTTCAAAGAACTTTTGCGTATGTTGTCTTAACTTTGTCTCTTCATGAAAACCTAGTTTATAGATTCTAAATTAATAATCAAGTTTTATACATAATGTTTATTGACTTACGTGTAAGATTATTATTGAATATATTTTATGTCTTTAATCGGATTAAATATTTTTGAATGTTCTATTATGATAAAATATTTCATTGTTGCTTCTGAAAAAGTACAACTCTGTAAAAAAATTTACTATTTTACTAGAAAATATACTTCTGAAGAGTTAATATTTTTAAAAAATAGTTTGTTTTGTTACTCTTGAAGTAACACAACATTATAATTAATATTCTTAAAGAACATTATTTGCTCTTGAAGAACGTGAATTATCATTTTCAATACTTCAAAAGAGTATTAACATATTGCTCATGATCATGAATTACAATTTTTGATATTTCAAATAAAGATATTGATTTATTGCTGCTGAAGAATCAATAATAAAATATAAAATACTCTTAAAGAAATACAATTCTGTAAATGTTAATATTTGTCTAAAAAAACATATCACGATGAGTTAATGTTTTTAAAGAATAATTTATTGGTGTTCCTGAAGTAACACAACGTTATTAATATTTTAAAAGAATATTATTGCTTCTAAAGAGCATAATTAAATACGATATAACTCAAATTAAGTTTTTACTCATGAAAAGTGAATTTTTATACAATTTATTATTTTAAATAATAACATGTTATTGCTTTTGAAGAGCATGACGCTACATTACCGAATTAATAATGATGCGAAATTAAAAATTCAAAAGGATATTCAATGAAGAACAGAAGATTTTTCAATTCAATCCTATATGATATTTGTCCTCTTTCATGAAAATTTATAATTAATCATCACTAGCTAAAATAAGAACTAAATTTTCTATATTTTTGAAAATTAATTAGGGTAATAAATGGTGCTCCATCATTCTCCACGTTGATCATCTAAATATTATTTGTATTTAATAGATTTGATACACATACTGGATGATTGAATGGTATTAACAACTTGAAGTTTGCGAAGCTATTGTTCAAATTTTAAATTATAAACATAATTTTCAGAGTATACAATTAAGATTGATCTCGTCAATACTAGTGATTCTAAATCTCAATATTTTAAGAAGTGTTGGTTGGGATGTCGATAAATGGTTTAACATTATTATTTGTTATACTCCCCCAATTAATTGAGAACAAAGTTTTTCCCAATTCCATGGGAATGCTATTACGCATCTGCCAATATCATAGTTCTCTGTTATAATTGGCTTATGATCAGAGTTAAATTTTTTCATCAGATTATTTGATAGTACAATTAATTTACCACATTTTAATGAGGTGAAAAGTAAAGAATGTTGAAACTAAATGCGTAGTTTTAACCGTTATATCAAATGGGTGATATTTGATAATGAAATTTACTGATTATCAATTTGATTGGACAATTCTCTCAACATTAGGAAGAGGAACTAAGAAGCTGAAAATAATGTACAAATGTGCCATTATATAAATCCAAGCAAAAAGAATTCGAACGAGAAGTTCAAAAGTTAATTTATTTAGATGCATTTACTGATCAAAGAGATCAATCAATTTTAAATGTTCCAATATGAATTGATGTTTTAGGAGGACAATTTGATAACATTATATTTGATATATCTATAGCACGTCTAAGTGTGATGGTATTTGATTATAATGGAAAAAATCTCAAAATGAAAATGGAGCAATTTACGAAGATAGTTTCATTAAAAAGGCGTATACTCTTGATGAATATTTAGACATAATAAATTATAAAACCCCAAAAAAGGTTTAGGTATATGAAATAATGAAATTTGATATATCTCAATAAGTTATGTTATTATAAGAAAATAAATAGAATCAAATACGAAAAGAAAAAGTTGTCGACAACAATTTTACACAAGATGTACTACATCATATAGCGAGAAATCAAAATAAATGCTTTGAAATATATCGATCGAAGTAATTATTGCTCAAATAAGAGGGACGCAATCCTAAATTGAATTTACTAGAGAAATCTGAAATTTCTAGATCTACAGTCTGAACACCTAAATGTGTATATTTATGCAAAATGAAAATAAAAAAGGTTACATAATAAATTTCCCAAAAACTCGTATAAATAGATAAGTTATCATATGGTGGATGTAATCACAAATCTCTATTTTTTTAGCGCGACAATGCATGAAATTTGATATGCATATAATAAACGTAATTATAGTTAATTTTTTATATATATAAATTTAATACTATTCTTGAAGGATTTAATGTGTTTGAAGCATAATTTAAATGATATTATCATGAAGGGAATAAATACGTGTTTTACTCTTTTTTCCTTGACCAATGTTTTGTTCTATTGAATTTTCCTAACAAGGTTTTTAATGAGGCAACTTTATAGCATACTCAAAAGAATAATATACTATTTTTCCTTTATTAGGAAATTTTCCCCTGATTTCAAAAAGGAAAGTGCTTGCTGTATATTATCATTTACATAGTGTTTTATATATTGATAAGGTGTAAAAAAGAAAATGATGAAAATTCTTTTATTTGGTTAATGAGATTTTGACACAATGAAATTTCGCCATATCATCTGTTGATAAACAGATTTGTAAATTATGATATATATATATATAACACAATCATTTTAATAATTAATCCTTTAGCGATTTTTAAAGGGCTTTAAACAAGTCATAACGTTCTCAATGACACGCTACTCTATAAAAAAGAAACAGAAACAGAAAAAAAAAAATTAAAAAAATTTGCCAATTTGAAAAATGAAGATAATAAATTCAGGTAACCGACTTCAAATATATTTTGCCAAATAAACGAATGCTTTTAATAATAGTACACAAGATAAAACTTCTAGTGATACTTAGAAGTAGACCATAGAAGAGTATAAACCTTGTGAAGTAAATTAAATAACATGATCATCTCTTTTTTCCTAATGAGCTTCGACGTTCAGCTTCTTTCTCAGCAACTAGCACATAAAACTCTGGTCCCAGCATCTCGTGTATATCCAGACTCAAAGACATGCTCAGGTTTACAACAGCCAATATTACTTCCACGGTAACCACGAAGCCTAAGGTAGAAAGTACACGGATGGCATTCGCAGTCCTGCATATGTTTTGCCTAGTTTCAAGTGGAGTACAAGTGTCGACTTCATCAGCGCTGCTCATTGAATTTTCTGAATCTGCAATTGGTTGCTCAGATTTGTTTAATTGGTCCTCTACTAACATGGGATCTTTCACTTCAACATGTTCACCAACCCAAACAAAATGAAGATAATAAATTCAGGTAACCGACTTCAAATATATTTTGCCAAATAAACGAATGCTTTTAATAATAGTACACAAGATAAAACTTCTAGTGATACTTAGAAGTAGACCATAGAAGAGTATAAACCTTGTGAAGTAAATTAAATAACATGATCATCTCTTTTTTCCTAATGAGCTTCGACGTTCAGCTTCTTTCTCAGCAACTAGCACATAAAACTCTGGTCCCAGCATCTCGTGTATATCCAGACTCAAAGACATGCTCAGGTTTACAACAGCCAATATTACTTCCACGGTAACCACGAAGCCTAAGGTAGAAAGTACACGGATGGCATTCGCAGTCCTGCATATGTTTTGCCTAGTTTCAAGTGGAGTACAAGTGTCGACTTCATCAGCGCTGCTCATTGAATTTTCTGAATCTGCAATTGGTTGCTCAGATTTGTTTAATTGGTCCTCTACTAACATGGGATCTTTCACTTCAACATGTTCACCAACCCAAACATAGCCGTTACAACCAAGAATCAAGTCAATGCCATATTGCTCTAAATAGTGGAAATGCTGCTTGCGCTTCTTCACCAGATACGGGGTAATTGTAAGCAATTGACCTCTTTCAAGCTGTCAAAAAAGAGAAAAATGCCATCGATTCGTCTCAAACTGCTGTTAGTAGAGTCATGTGACTAGTTAGATACAGTAAAGATAAAATATTATTACACTCAGAGGTGACAGCATCCCAACCCCCCCCCCCTCCCTCACTCTCTAAAGACCAGACAAATAAATTCATGGGCAAATTTCTTGACATGCATATGCTCTTACAGAGTACAAGACATCGCTTCTCTTGCTTCTCAAATGTAATAGATCGTACAAGATTTAAGAGCATATATTTTGTAAATGAAATGACGAGCACGCACCTTTCCATACTTCTGGCTTCTTGCTTGCAGGTGCAGACAACCATCATGCTGGAAACCACGTACTTCAGCCTGAATCAATACATTCTCTATTAGCAATTTTCTTTCCTTTGTCCCCCCTTTTGGAACAAGTCAGACAATTATATACTCCATTAAGAACATAGAGAATTATGGTACATTATATGAACGAGGAAGGGCAAACTGAGCCAGTCCACCTGATGGGATTGCATGCAATCAAAAGCATAATAAATGATGATACTTTCTCTATTGACCAACCGAAAGGGATGGATTGCAACCAGAATGGTTAACAGATGAGAAGAGCAAGGTAGCTTACACATATGACATCATTTTCTTCAAATATACTGCGCATGTTAAGCTCATCAATTGCAGTTCGTCGCCTCTGAAAAACAGTGGGTTTAACAAACTGAGCCAGTCCACCTGATGGGATTGCATGCAATCAAAAGCATAATAAATGATGATACTTTCTCTATTGACCAACCGAAAGGGATGGATTGCAACCAGAATGGTTAACAGATGAGAAGAGCAAGGTAGCTTACACATATGACATCATTTTCTTCAAATATACTGCGCATGTTAAGCTCATCAATTGCAGTTCGTCGCCTCTGAAAAACAGTGGGTTTAATTAGGGCACAAATCAATTTAGAAACCTCATCTTATTTTATCCAACCTCAATATATAACCTCATGACAACGAATTTCTAGTAGGAGATAAGCGAGCAAGCAAGCAATCCCACATGTATTAAACAAGATTGCATTCAAAGTCATAGCAACAACAATAATAATAAGAATAACTTTACTTCAATGATCAACCATTAGAATAGTGGAGTGAGTGTACACAGAAAGATTGTAGGATGTGCAATTCCCATCTTCACAACATCTAACAAATAATTCAACCGTAACCCCACCATTAGTAGGTCTTACAACTGAATTTCACTAATCCAGGTGCTAGCCTTACTCTACATTCGCAGGATATCCGTATTATCCAATTCCAACAACATGCATGCATTATCCAAACTATGATTAATATCTTATATACCTCTAGGCAATAGTTAAGAAAATAACCTAAAAGTAACGAGAGAATCCATTAAGATACTAAATGAACTTAATCTGTTAAGCATATTTCATATGTGGAAATCACATAACCATATACTTGCTCCCAAAAAAATTAGAAATTAACTTAGGCTAAACAAGAGGTGAAGATCCATCTACTCTTAATTTCTAACTAGGAAAATCTTCATGGGATGCTAAGTTAGGTAGTAACTAATCTTTCACAGACTACCATGTAGTCCACTTACTAGGATTTCTAACAGTTCGTCACAGCTTTGCCACTACAGTTAAAATTGGAAGGTTTTTGAAAGATACCTGGATGCCATCGGGTAAGTTCATAGAAGAAAGCATCAAAACTGCATCCTGGCTGAAGTTGATCTCCAATCTCCAGCGCTTTGGAGCAACCTAACATAAAGAGAAAATCCCAATTTCTAAACTTAACAAATAACACAAAAGATAATACTTTGGCTGAAAAAAGATAGTGAAAAATTCATGTCTTGTAAACTTTATTGCTATATGAAGATAATTATGCATAACGTCAATGCAACTTCAGCAATTACGTTAAGGCTTAACCTTAAAGAACTAGAACAAATGGAAAAGGCAAAAGAGAAATAGATAGAGAAATGCGAAATGGGAAGATAATAAGGAACCTCAATATTTTTTTTTTTTTCACATTTCAGGAAACAAGATAGATTCTTCGCATTGGGTAGAGTAATAGATTAAAACTATGGGGACTTCTTCTTTCACCTCAATAACTCGGCCAACTATGATATCACCAATCTCAGGCTTGTACCTATAGCACAAAATAAATCTTAATTTCCAGAAAATAAATTAATTTCACAAAATTAATAAACTGAAAATTAGCTATAATATGAAAAAAATAAAAAGAAAAAAACCTGGCCCTTAAAGCCCTCACATAGACAAGCTTATTCACTCGCTCCACAACTCCACACAGTGTTGCCACCACATGCCCATCCAACTCCGTTGTCCCATGTCCCCTTCAATCCAACACATCAGAATTAAGGTTCACTAAAATTCAACTTTCTACATAAATATTAAGGGAAAAAAGGAAAAGGAAAAGGAAAAGGAAATCACGACTTCACACGTGTGTGCGTGAGCGTACTTGAGAATGGCATCTTCGCAGTTGACAGAAATGTTGTCGGCGATGGTGACGGAGGCATCAGAGTTGGATTTGGATGAAAGAGATTCCAACTGCTCTAATGCTCTCTCTAGTCTCAGTTTCTGGGTTTTGTTCAATGACAATTGCATGCCTCTCATTGATCACTGTTTGTGTGGAAAAGAGAGTATATGAATGAATTGATAAACTCTTAAAACACCAAGTATGAGTTATACAATTTATACTTCAGAAGAAACCTAAATCCTTTTCCTCTCTCGCCCATTACTCCAATTATTAGTAAGAATAGCATCACTTAAAGAACAATTATAGTTCAAGCATACCAAGCTTTTGACTTTTCTAATTAATGAATTGTTTTGCCATCTTACTTTAAATATAACTTTCTACTTGTGCCACATAAAACTGGAAACTGGGAAAACAAGTAATTAACACAAGTTAAGATTAAAAATATAGAGCTCTATACGGATAAGGGGAGGTGGTGCCAATGATCGGAAGGAACATGGTCCAGAGAGGGCAAGGACCAGTCTGTTTGAAACTGTTTCTCAGTCCATATTTACGAGTTTTGAGAAACCAATCAGGTAGAATGCAAAGGAAAAGTCAGAGAACTATAAAGATGTGTATAATAGGCCCTCCCATCATTCTATTTGTGATTGCTAATTCCAAAAGTAGCAACAAAGAAAATAATAATAAATAAAAATTGTGACTGCAAATTCAAAGATTTGACATGCACAAATGTAAATATCAATAAACAACCATATTCATAGGGCAGATATAAACCCTCTTTGGTGCTACAGAATCTCAAATTTGTATTTGAGAATTTGCCACAGTGTGTAAAATGCCCAAAGCATTTAGAGAGAACAGATTTAAAACAATGAATTAATAATCACCAAACAACTGCATACTACAATTCTATTTTATTCTACTAATTTTGTTCCAGAAACCATATAAGGATCATAACCGATTTGAATTAGAAAAATCTTCTTAAACCCTCAATATTATTTTTCCAATTCAATTCATCAAAAAAAATCATTAAGCTAGCGACAGACAAAAACGTTCACCAAACAAGACGTGCCGTCCAATTCATTCACGAAACCTTTTTTTTTCATTATCAATCTATTGAGTGAAATTGTTATGCTAACGGTGTGTTCATCCACCCTTAATAAGTATGCTTGAAAAAACCAACTGTAAGGAAAAACATAATGTAATAAGCAAATAGCAAAAACGAAACACGATCTAAGCTCGTCGAATACCTTTTTATGGCAGATTCCAGACCGTTTCAGAAAGAGAGAGGGGAAGAGGGGTTTTTGAATTGGTACTGGATCTTTTTTTAATTTTTAAATGTTAGGGTTTTAGAGAGAGATTAAGCTTCGGCTCCCATTAAGCTCCATTTGGCCCGATTAAGTTCTATTATATTATATTATATTACATTTTTCTCCCCATTAATTTCTATTATATTATATTATATTACATTTTTCTCTATTTTATTTTTAATCATACAATCTTTTATAAAATAATATTACACATAATTCGAAAACTTTTCCTTATTTTTAAAAAAAATACTATTCCTTCCATTTCCAACTTTACAAAATGGGGTCAAACGGGGGGCTAAATTAATTTTTTACTTTTTCTCTATCTTATTTTCAACTACATAATTTTTCATAAAATAATATTAAACCTAAATCGAGAATTTTTTCATCTTTTTCAACCGTTTATTCTTCAAAAAAATATTATTATACCTATTAAAACTTGAGATAATGGGGCCAAACAGGGCTAATTATCAATTTATAATTATAGCGTTATTAAAATGATAACAAAAATAAATTTGGTGCTTGTTTGGTAGAGATTTTGTTAATTGATTTTTTGATCGTTAGAGATAAAATGGGTTCTACCTATTAGAGAAGAATTAAAAAATGACGGCTGGAATAATGAAATAACGATCAAAAAATTAATTTTAATTAACTTTTAATCCGTACCAAACATGCTCTTGATATGAAGCCCCCTGTTTGATTCTCGTTCTTATAAGAATGAGAATAGAAAATATAGTCGTTATGGAATCCATACAAGAGATATGAAGTCAAATATGTTGATTTGATATGAAAGATAACGATTATATATATATATATATATATATTTTTTACCAAAAAAGGAAAAACAAACTATGCCTAAATACAATCTCTTGAAATACGTAAAAAGAAATTCATTGTATACATGTGGCCAATTAAAATACATAGTGGCGCTATAGCATAACGAGCTGGCGTTTATCATCACTAGCCCCTTTCAAAAAATTTCAATGAATATTATTAAAAAATAATAAAGTACAAAAATCCAATCTTATACAAGCTCGATGGCTCCAATAAGGATGCCAATTTGAATTGAGATATTCAAACTTCACTTTGCCCCGTCTCGATTGACCGACGAGACAATTTGGGAATAGGGTAGGAACAGGAAATCACCTCCTACTCCGTTGATCGTCTAATTATTTTAAAAAAAATCACCTTAGCCCAAACACGAACAGATTACTCAAGCCATTAGCTCTATACCCAAATTATCTTATAATTTACTTGAAAATGTAAACGGGACAAGAATGGAGTGCGCGTCCCTACTTCGATCAAAGCCTAACTCTCTAATAATATTATTCTCAATTCTAAGATTAATTTCCGACAAAAGCCCCTCAAATATTTTTTAGGAAATTGAAATTTTGAATTTTGTTAGTAAAAATAATTTTAAAGTTATGTTTGACAAACTATGGGTCTGTTTGATATAAAAGTAAATATGTAAGTTTTAGAATAAAAATTAATATAAGTTATCAACTTCAAAATTAATTTTAACTTATTTTACAGAAAATGTAAGTAATATTGGATGGTTTGACTATCGTTAAAACTCAAAAATATTACTTATAACTAATCTTAATTATCTTTACAACTTTCTTGAAAATTTAGACTTACGTAAGTTTTATTTTATATTATTTCACATGAATAAATTATCTACTCATAAGTTAATTTCAAAAGAAAATGCTATACGTACATAATTGTCTATGTAATGGTGTTCATAATTACACGTGGCAGTGGATCCAACCTTTAATTTAAATCTTACACTTGTACATCAACAATCGGATGATTGCCACATCATATTATGGATACCATTATGTGCAATAATTATGTACAAATAGAATTTTTCGATTTCAAATGACTACAAATAATGATAGAGTAATGTTTGGTGTATAGAAAAATACTTATAGAATTTGTACAGATATCTCACAAAGTGTGGACTCCGCATGAATAAATAATATTAAAAAACTCACCCACCCACCGTGCCCATGTGAGGTATCTGTAGAGGTTCTGTGAACGCCTACATTGTACACCAATCATCTCCCATAATGATATTTTTCATGTAGTATGCGAAGTCATACTTTGGTAAACTCGACAATCACTCCAAATGTCAGTTTCAAATTATTTCCGATGTTTTAAACGTAATAATAAATATTGAAATTCGTTCATAGCTTATACATATAAAAGCGTGAATTATTCTTCAAGATTTTGAGCATAACATTAAAGTGTCAAAGCTCGTTTGTAGCTAACACATATAAAAGCATGACTACACTTTATTATTAACGCAACACATTTCGATTATAAAATGAAGTAAATAATCACGAAAAATTGGGTATTAATAAATTCATTGGATAAAAAGAGGAAAGTCATAAATCATGGGAGACAAAAAATTTCAGTCACAAGTAAAAAAGTATCCGTCTTGATTTTCCTATTAAATTCTTCTTGTCATGTTATAGACAAAACTTCCTTAACATTTCTAATTTTCTATCTGTGAATATATATACTTATTTATTTAGAATATTTGCATTAATGCATGGTGATGTGTTTCTTAATAAGGAAATAGTCCGAGGTTTTTTCTCTTCCCCACAATTTCCCCAATCTGTGTCCAGTAATATTCAACCTCTCCTCCTCCAATGGCTGCTGTTGCTTTTTTTCCCCTTATTTTCTCATTGTAAATAATTTCATTGAGCCAGGATGGCCTTCTTCTGGAGCTTTTCTTCTGTTCCATTGCTTGGCCTCCTGTCTCTCTTCCTCGCCACCACCCTTCAGCCGCCCTCGGCAGCCATCGCCACCAGCCTTCGCTTTCGAAAGCCGTCCACCACCGTGGTTGATGTCCCAGTATTCCGAGAGGCCCCGGCTTTTCGAAATGGTGAGACTTGTGGATCTCCCTCCATAGATCACATTCATGTTGCAATGACACTTGATGCAAGTTATCTGAGAGGCACAATGGCTGCTGTTTTATCAATCTTGCAGCATTCTACTTGCCCTGAAAATGTTGTGTTCCACTTTCTTTATGTGAGAAATGAACCCGAGGTTTTCTCGAGCATCAAATCGACTTTCCCTTATCTCAACTTCAACGCGTATAGGTTTGATTCAAGAAGGGTGCTCGGTCTAATATCAAAGTCGATTCGCCAAGCTTTAGATCAACCTTTGAACTATGCAAGAATTTATCTAGCAGACATATTGCCGGTCGATATTAAGCGCTTGATTTATCTTGATTCGGATCTTGTTATGGTGGATGATATTGTGAAATTATGGGGTGTTGATTTGAATGACAAAGTATTGGCTGCACCAGAGTACTGTCATGCAAATTTCACTAATTATTTCACCGACGCCTTTTGGTCCGACCCCGTCCTGTCAAGAACGTTTGAAGGGCGAAAACCGTGCTATTTCAATACTGGTGTGATGGTCGTGGACATGGACAAGTGGAGACAGGGGAAATATACGCGAAAAGTCGAGTATTGGATGGTTGTGCAGAAGCAAAAAAGGATATATCAGTTGGGTTCATTGCCACCATTTTTGCTTGTACTTGCTGGTAATATAGAGCCAGTTCATCATAGATGGAATCAGCATGGATTGGGGGGAGACAACATTGAAGGGAAATGTAGAAGTTTGCATCCCGGTCCGATAAGCCTACTCCATTGGAGTGGCAAAGGGAAGCCATGGTTGAGGCTTGACTCGAGAAAACCTTGCAATGTTGATCATTTGTGGGCTCCTTACGATCTCTATCGTCCATCAAAACATTCATTTGAAGAATGATGGAAAGAAGATGCTTCTTTGTATCTTATAAGCAGTCAAATATGCATACTTGGGGACTTGGAAATTGAGAGCAGGGGATGATATAAAGTGACATATTAGGGGAACAGAAAGCTCACACACTTTCATTTAGAAAAGAAGTTCAAAAAATAAACAAAAAACAAAGGGAAAAATGTTACGAATTTACGATTTTTTTTTTAATGTTTTATTATTATTATTATTATTTTAACCACAAATAGAGAAGGACAAATGTTTGTTTTGAGGAAGACATTGGAGGATAAGCAGAACTGTCAGTTTCTTTTCAGAGGCAAAAGATGGGAAGCATTCTGATTATGATCATTTGACAATCAGATAATTCATGACCCTCTGATTATGTTGTCAATACATTTTTATTTATTGTCTTAAAAAATGTTAAATTTGATATATATTGTTGCTAATTATTTGTGCAATCATACTTAAATTTTATAAGGACTGAGTTAGGGAACATAATGGTTGATATGGGAGATGACCGAACACACTCACACCTCAGGAGTCGAGCATTATTTAATTCATTTGGGACCTGCACATTTTGTGAGGGTCGATCACCTGGGGTGTCAAATATTTTCGGGCAAAGTGGCATTTCCCATTTTATAATCAAGTCGATTGAAAAACCCGCAACCTAAATAAAGCGACTAATTTATGACTTCATCAACTTGATCTAGCCCCCGTTTGGCTCCCATTAATTTCCATTACATTATATTCTATTTTTTTTCTCATATTTTCAATTACATATTTTTTCATAAACGTAAATTGAAAACTTTTCCTTCTTTTTCAATTACTCATTTTTCAAAAAAAATACTATTATACTCATTTTTATTTTTATAAAATGGGGATTAAACGGGGGCCTAAATTTATTGGTAGAGTTGGGTTGGATCGATTGATTTGAATGGTTCGATGGTTAATTTGCCCAACCTATGTTGGTATCATTATCTAATCCTTGGGCGAGCTTTCATGTTGTATGAGCCCAATCAATTTTGTGGGCCTATAGCCCAATAGGCCCACCCAACCTAGGTGCGCACTACGTCTACTGCGAACCAAATATTTAGCTTGTTCCAGCAATTTGTATGAACTGAAACTCATTCTGTACGATAGATTCATTCGATAACCAGAAAACTCAATGCTTGATCCTTCAATTGATTTTTAATCAGCACTATGAATTTCTTCAAATCCATTCTGTCAGAGGATTCAGATTCTCCAAACCCAAAGCGCGAAAACCCCCATGTCCCGGAATCCGAATCCCCACTGCAGAGGAATAAGGATCCGGATGATGTCGGTCAGGATCCAGTTCACACAGACCCGCCACCCAAAAGCCCGTCTGATTCATCCGGTGATGGTGGCGGTGGGTGGAGTTTTGGGGGTCTGATCAAGACTTTTGCGACCCAATCCGAATCGGTGCTGGAGACATACAGGCGGGATCTTAGGGAATTCGGATCGGGTCTTAGGAAGGAGTCAGAGGTCATCCGAGAAGTCGCCACCCGCGCTGTGAAGGAACTCCCGGCATCGCTCGAGTCTGGTGCGTCGGCTGCTCAAGGTTCGCTGGAATCCGTTGGACAGGTCCTTGATGGGGTCCTCAAATCGACTGCCGATATAATTTCACAAGGGAAAGAAAGCCCTGGCTCGGATGGGGAGTCTGAAACTCCTGAGACTAATAAGAGCTTGGGTTCCAGTCGGTACAGCCGGTTCGATACCCAATTGAATGCAATCCAGTCTGATGCGAACACTTTCAGCAAAGATCCAGAGGATTTTGAGGAGTATAAGAAGTGGAAATCAGGGTTTAAATTGGAGGAGAAGAGCAATGAACTTGAGGGGCTAATTGGAGAAAATGAGGTTTTAGAGAGCCTTTACAAAAGGTTTGTTCCTAGTACTGTTGATCACGAGACATTTTGGTGTAGATACTTCTACAAAGTGCATAAGCTCAAGCAGCAAGAGAGCGTGAGGGCTAATCTTGTGAAGCGGGCAATTTCTGTTGATGATGATGAGGAATTATCTTGGGATGTTGACGATGATGATGAGGATAATGGATGGGAAGAAAAGAGTAATGTAAAAGCAGAACATAAAGATGAATCTAACAATGATGGCTCTGTTGATAAGAATCTTAGATGTGCTGAGAAACAAGAAGGTTCTGGCAATGTGTTGCAAAATAAGGAGGAAGGAGATTATTCAATTGTGGATAAAGTTGACAAGAATGATGCAGTGGACTCGAGCAAGAAGAGTATTAAGAATATTTCGTCTGATGAGAAGGTGAAGTCTGAAGAAATTATTGAAGTGAAAAATGATGAGAAAGTGGAGTCTCAAAAAGTAGATGAAGAGAAGAATGAGGAGAAAGTGGAGTCTGAAAAAATAGCTGAAGAAAAGAATGACGAGAAAGTGGAGTCTAAAAAAATAGCTGAAGAGAAGAATGATGAGAAAGCGAAGTCAAATGAGAAGGTGGACAAGGAGGCAATAAGTGAAAAGAACGACTCTAGTAAAGAAAGTGTGGTTTTTAGTCATCAATCTGCTGCAGAGGAGGATTTGGACTGGGACGAGATCGAGGATATTGAGAGCCATGATGAAAAGAAAGTTAGTACTACTCATGGTGGGAGTCCGAACAGAGATGAGTTGAAGAATCGGTTGAGCATTGCTGAAGAAGATGAAGATTTGAGTTGGGATATTGAGGATGATGATGAACCTGTAAAGGCTTAATGTTACGCCAATAAGAAAACCTAGATAAATTTGTATGATAAAGATGCTGATCATCTTTGTAAGGGCATGAACTTATTAAAGGTGAATCCTGTGAAAGTTGCAATTGGGAGCTAAAGAAGTTGACATTGGTGATGCGGCTTCTTACCCAGTAAATATAAAGATTCAAATGTATTAACTGATGCAATTTGTTCCATTCTTTTGCTTGTTTGTTCTTGTGGCAGCTTGTTTGATAAGGGGGGGAGGGTTGCTCTCCCCTCTGTCATTGTGTTTCTATTGGAGAAGACAAATTGTACTCATAATTTAACACCGTTACTCTTCTTTCTCTTATTAATAGCATTTCTATCTTTCCTTTAATAAATATTGCTATAAGCTACTATTTCATATTGCTGTCTCGTTGCTGTTGTGGCACTGGTTTTGAAGGCGTTACCAGCAATAATGCGCCATTAAAAAAAAAAAAAAAAAAAAGTTTCTTTGTTCCTTAATACAGTGTTTCTCTTCAATTTGATTTATATGGTTAGATGCTCGTGATTGTACTCTCTCATATATCGTGTAACTTGCAAATCTAGAAAGCGTGTCCCTTTTGGAAACTAGGAGGGACTTGTACGTCTCCTTTGATGTTTTGTTCTGTCATTTTCGATCAACTAGTTGTGCTTGTTCGTGCTATTTCCTGTCGTCTCTTGATTGTCTTAATTAGTCAATACCATATTTAGTTTAGCTATTATAAACGTAATTTCCTTCCAGTGGTAGAAATAAGATGCAGTAGCCATGGTTGGTTTTATCATTGCTGTGACTTCTTTATCTCAAACGTATCTGATGCCCCAACTCTTATGGTGTGTTTTTCCCCGTTTTCCCCCTTTGCGCCCTTCGTTTCCATTTTTCAACTGCATGATAAGCGGAGAAGTTTTTTAAGCCTAATTCAACGACCCCATCTGCCGTGCTCAGACCATCAATAAGCAGAGATCGGAAAAATACAGTGGTGGTGTTCAAGGAAGGGATGATGGTCGACTTGCTTGGCTGCAACCAGGGGAGATAGCACTATACATTTTCATACGAATATTTCTGTTTCAGTTAAGGCATTTTCTCTGCTGAAATGCCCATGTGGTCACTGAACTTGTTTTTGTGACTGAATTTGACACAGTAGCTGATTATTTGTATGTTATTTTGTGTAGTTGGTTTTTTGAATCAATAACTTATTCAAGAAAAAACCTGAGAAATGACATTGAGTGCTTGATACGGCGATAAATTCAAGAATCGACCTAGAAATCAAGAGAATTGATTTATGCACTTACGTGCACTAAACAAATTTAACAGTCGCATATATTGTCATTGTTACTTGAAAGAATTGACCCGAAAGTCAAGATTATTGGTTTATGCGCTTATCCGCACTAAACAAGATTATCACTCACAAATTTTGTTATCGTTATTTGGAAATTATCTATTTACAGTGCTCTTTATGTGTACTAAACAAGATTAACAGTTGCATATATTGTCATCGTTACTTGAAAGAAACGATTTGAAAGTCAAGATTATTGGTGTATGCACTTATGCACACTAAACAAGATTATCACGTGCAAATATTGTTATCATTATTTAGAAATTATCTCTTTACAACGCTCTTTATGGGCACTAAACAAGATTAACAGTAGCAAATTTTGTCACCGTTACATGAAAATTATCTCTTGATAATTTTTTATTTCATAAGATCAAGTATAATTGATTTTAAACGACACAAAATTAACTAAGACAAAGTGAGCTTGGACGTCAAACATTTTTGGTACAGAAGGATAATTGAATTTAAAATTTTATTTCAATTAAAATCATTTATTCTATCTCAATTAGCTACAAGATTAGCCCCTGTTTGGCCCCCATTACGTGGAAAAATTAATGGGTGGAATAGTATTTTTTTGAAAAATGAATGGTTGAAAAAGAATGAAAAGTTTTCGATTTACGTATAATATTATTTTATAAAAGATTGTTTGATTGAAAATAGGAAAGAGAAAAATGAAATGTAATGGAATGAAAATTAATGGAGCTCAAACAGGGGCTTAGTTTCCACACTTGTTTCAAACACGTCTACAGTGACAAGACTTTCCAAATCCAATAAGCCCTAATTGGTACAGAATAACCGACTACTGGAAATAGCTCATTGCAATCACAGAAGAATAGGCTGAACAATTCTAATCGGAGGCCATTTTTTAAATTTAGGATGCTCAGAGGATACAAGTCTCACTCAAGATAAATTCCGTAATGCAAGGCACAAGTGAATTTTTTCATTCGTTCTAAGCTATGCTTTCGGTATATCTATATGGTAAAACCGATCTCGTTGAAGAAACTTACGATAGATTCAACTGCACCATTACGTTGTCTTCTCAAAGACGGATTGATTTTTAATCCCAATTTATTAGAATGCTGTAAAAATCAATTCTTTACCAATTTCTGTAGTCTTGTGGATGTGGGTAGAGAAGGGTTCGAGGGTGCGCGAGTTGAACGACCGCAAAATGTTTCAAAATTGTAGAGGCATAAATTTTTTTTTGGTTATAGTTGTATATTTATTTATTATTAAATATTTAAAATATAAAATTTTTATTATTATGCATAAGATATTAAAATTAAGAATAATGTGACTGATTAATTATAATTTCCTTAAAAATAATATTCTTAAATAGTATTCCTAACTTAAATAATGTGAGGAAAAAGGGAAAAGTCGAAAAGAGATCAGATCAGCCAAAGAATTGAGAGAAGAAAGAAAAATTGAGCAACCGCCTTTTCCAATAGTCTTTTTGGAGAAAAATAATTAAAAAAAATCAACCGTTTTATCCAATTGCCTAAAAGATAATTGAGGCAGAGAAGAGAAAAACCAACTGTCTTTTTGGAGAAAATTGTCTTTTTCTCCAATCATCTTTAATCTGACTCCAAAAATTCTCTCTTTTATTCTAATAAGTTAAACTCATTGGATGATGCTATTTGAAAACATCTTGTGATAATTTTGATATTGTTTTAGGACGTGTAAATTTTTGCGATCTTGACGGCAAAAAATTATTTCAAGAGTTAAAAGTCTTTGATATATTGACTTATTTGAAAAAAAATTGAATTGTTTTCTGAACACATGTATTGTTTATATATTTTTATTGACAATTCCTATAACTGTTGCATTTGCTGAAAGAAGTTTTTCAAAATTGAAATTATTAAAATTTTATTTGCAATCAACCATGTTACAAGAACGATTGAATAAATTAACTTTGACATCTATTAAGCAAGACTTTCTAAAAAGAAAAAATTGATTACGAAAATTTAATTAGTGAGTTTGCTTTTAAAAATACAAGAAGAAATATTTTTACATGATTTGATACATTTCAAGCTTTACACTTCACTTGATATATATATTTTTTTCAGGGTTTACTTATATGTAATTGCACAAAAAGGCTAGTGGTTTGGATGATTCTTCGTTGATAACAAATGAAATTTGATGAAGTTTAAGAGATGCTACTTTATTTACGTTTTTCTCGTTTATGTATGTAAAAATAAAAAAAATTAAATATCATATTTTTGCAATGAATATATATATATATAGGCGAAGGCAGTGCAGGTGAAACCCCAATAGATAAAAAAAAATTTTATCGCTCCACATAGCTCACGACCCGACACGAAGAAATCTCTTAGACGGGCGGATGCGAATCTGGATCTATCAACGTAGCAATTCCATTCAAGTCGTAGCCGTGTCTGACCCCCTCAATCTTTCTTTCCGGAGTGAGTCAGGCGGCAAAGCCTTTAATCCTGATAAAAGAAATAGTTTTCCCACGCTCCAAGTATCCATAAATGGAATCGGTTTGAGTGAATTACTTACCGTAGTCAACGCCAATTGGGAAAGTCAGGTCAAGAGAGAGTCTCTTTCCGATTAGTGCATCTCGCACTTCCAATTCATATTTATATATATATATATATATATATATATATTGTTTTAATTACTTGAAGATGACACTATTTTCTATTGAATAGTAAAGACACTTTTATTGACCATAAAAGGATAAACCACTTTCTTAATTGCCAAGCAAGAAAGATACATGCATGGAAGTGGTGGTGGTGGCAAAATTGAAGTTTACAACTAATGATAGCCACATTTTTTGACTAAATTGATAAGGTTGTTGATATCTTAATTGGTAAGAAAGACTCCGTGCATGTATACAAGTGAGGATGAGAAATTCAAGTTTTCTTTCTCCATTTACTTGACAAGGCAAATGTGTAGAGAATTCTAGCAAATGAAGGTGGTAGAACTTTAACTCTTCCAAGCAATTATGGAGGTTAAAATTCTTTACAAATATGGGCAAGCGTTTGAGAGAAAAGGGTGTGTATCATATGGAGAGGAAAAATTAAGAGAGAAAAATTGTAAGGTAAAGAGAAGAGAAGAGAGAAAATTTATTGTTTTTCTCCTAAGTTCTTTTTTTTCCTACTTGTTTTCTCCTATTACAAGAGAGATTATTCATTGTTATCTCCTTGTATTTAGAGAGATTGTTGTAATTCTCCTACTATAGTGAATCCTCCCATACTTGCCCGTGGACGTAGCCTAAATTGGGTGAACCACGTAAATACCTGTGTCCATTTTTAGTTGTGTTTTCTCAATTTCATTATTTGTCAACCAAACTCGACCCACGCGTTTTCTCCCCAACAGTGGTATCAGAGCCAGGTTCTGTGTAGGGTCGTTGTTCAATCATAGTATTGGTGAAAAATGGCGACAAAATATGAGATTGAAAAGTTCAATGGGAACAATTTCTCATTATGGAAAATGAGAATAAAAGCAGTTTTGAGAAAAGATAACTGCTTGGCGGCAATTGAACAAAGGCCTATGAAAATTATTGACAATACTAAGTGGAATGAGATGGATAGCAACGCAATTGCTAATTTGCACCTTGCACTAGCCGATGGAGTATTGTCAAGTGTGGCAGAGAAAAAGACGACCAAAGAGATATGGGATACGCTGACAAAGCTGTACGAGGCCAAATCGTTACACAACAAAATCTTCTTAAAGAGAAAACTTTACACCCTTAGGATGATGGAGTCAACTACGATGACAGACCACATCAACACCCTCAATACTCTATTTTCACAACTCACATCAATGGAGCATAATATAGAGACTGGTGAATGTGCTGAAATCTTACTTCAAAGTCTACCAGATTCGTATGATCAACTCATCATCAACTTAACCAACAACTTTGAAACTCTAGTCTTCGATGATATTGCAGCTGCTGTTCTTGAAGAGGAAAGTAGGCGTAAGAACAAGGAGGACAGATTGACAAGTTCGAATCAGGCAGAAGCTTTAACGATGATGA